AAAAAAACAAACAGGAATAAATAGTGCAGGTACAGAACTTACAAATGGAGAGGAAGTCAAGATGATTTTGAGATAAGAATGGACTGCTATATACTTAGGAAGAAAATAATAAATCACTAAGTAAACTCAAAGATAATTAACAAACATTTTCATCAGAACAAAAAAGAGGAAAGGCACAAATATTTAACAAATACTAAAATAATAACAATGAAGGAAATGATACTATATACATATATATGAACAAAATGACCTCAGAATAGAAAATTATGTGTAACAAAGAAATAATTAGCACCATACACACAAGTACATAAAAACACACAACGAAATGATAGCAATAAATTCATACTTGCTGATGATTACACTGAATGTCAATGGATTAAAAGCACAAATCGAGAGACAGATAGTTACAGAATTGATAAGAAAATATGACCCATCAATATGCTGTCTACAAAACCCCATAACAGAGAGTGAAAGACATATCGTTATTAATTGATAAATTGAATAAGAGGACATAACTATAATAAATATTTAGCTAGCTGATGAGGGAGCCTCAAAATACATAAATAAAACTTTTACAGAATTGAAAGGAGAAATAAACAAATCCACAATAAATGATGACTTTAATACACCACTTTCAATAAAGGATTGAACAACTAGAAAGAAATTCAACAAAAAGAAAGAAGAACAAAACAACACAATCAAACAACTTGAACTTATGGACTTCTACAGAGCACTTCACCCAATGAGATCACAATATACATTCTTTCCCAGTCCAGAGGTAACATTTTTCTGAATAAACCATATGTTGGGCCACAAAACAAGCCACTGTACATTTTAAAACATCAAAATACTGGAAACCTTCATCTCAGATCAAAATGCTACACAATTATAAATTAATAATATGAAGATCAAGGAAAAAATAAAAACAACATGGAAACTGAGCAACACCCTGTCTAAAAATTACTGGATAATAGAAGAAATAAAAATTTTTAAAATTATCTATATACTTGAATCAAAGGAGAATGAAAACACAACATACAAACATCTTTGAACACAGCAAAAGCAGCAATCAAAGGGCAACTTATAGCAATAAATGCACACGTCAAAAAATGAACAAATATTCAAAATGAAGTCTCGCCAGTGAGCAGCACATTTATTTTTCCCTCTGGCATCTAAGGATTTTAAGAACTAGGTACAACAGTTTGAATTGTGATCTTTGG